CGGCCAGGCCCTGAGGGGAGGCCCTGAGGGGAGGCCCTGAGGGGAAGCCCGCCGGCCCGCCGAAAGGCCCAGCGCAACAGTTGTCTTTTTAGACTCGTACAATTCTAACTTTTATTTCTTTTTGAGCGTATTTGTTTCCAGGTTGTTCTGTTCTTTTGAAAAGCCCAGTGTAAGAGTGTTGTCTGCCTCCCGTGTGAGGTTTGGAGGGGAAGGGCGGGTGGACGGGCTGGTTTTGGTTGTAATCACAAAGGTGGCACTTGTTTCCACACACTTGACCTGGGGTTTGAAAACGTTCCTCTGTATGTACTTGTGTCAGTTGTAAGTCAAAGAAGAGTAATTGCTCTCATGTACCCTAAAGTATTTATCTGAAGAAGGGTGTTAATAAGGAGTAGAGAGGTAGTTTATGGTAGGTGGCCCAGAGAAGCTGTGGCTGCTCCTCCCTGGAAGTGTTGAAGGCCAGGCTGGATGAGGCTCTGAGCAACCTGGTCTAGTGGAAGGTGTCCCTGCTGCTGGCAGGGGGGTTGGAACTGGATGAGCTTTAAGGTCCCTTCCAACCCAAACCAGTCCGTGATTCTATGGTAAATGTAACATTTGGGGGGTTGTCACTTATCTAACACCTCTTTCTATATTGTTATAGAATTGGTTGGCTTGTTTTTAAAGCAGAGCTTAGTGTTCAGCACTCTCAAGTTCTCCAGATATATACTGAATCAAGTTTTTTTCCAGCAGTGTTGAAAATTAGATGTTGAGCTCACTTCCATCCCTAGTGTTGATTCCACTTCTACCGAGTTTTGAAATCTTCTGAAACAGAATGTGATGCTCAGTATCAAATAAATACTGAGGGGTGATTTGGGACAGTTTGTGCATCTGAAAGAAATCTTAATGTTAGCAGCATGAAAAGGTACTAGTGAGCTGACAGTCTTCACCAGCAAGTGTAATAGTAAGTTCTTAAAGGCAAAGTGCTTAAAGCTTGTGTAACACAAAGTGGTTAAAGTTAATTACTAATATGAACACGATCATCAAAAGGATCTGTGAATGCCTTCAAGAATCTTAATGAGGTATCATATCAGGTGGTCGGTGTTCTTATGAAATACAGTGCAGCTGTTAAATCTAAAACCCTTCAAGTTTGTGCTGTGAGACTACGGGAGGGAAAAAAAAAACAAACAACAAACCACCCAACAGTGTTTCTCTGACTTTGTTTTCAGATGGTGTTATCAGAAAAAGTGAACCAGCTAATGGAGTGGGCTAGTAAAAGATCTGTTATTCGAATGAATGGAGACAAATTTCGACGCCTTGTGAAGGCACCACCCAGAAATTACTCGGTGATTGTGATGTTCACTGCCCTTCAGCCTCACAGACAGTGTGTTGTGTGCAAGTATGGGCTTAATTTAGTCCTAAATTAGAACTTGAAAGTCGTTATATGCTTTGTAAGAAATGAAATTTTAAGAATAAAACTTCAATGTATGTGGGAGAAATATACTTGGGGAAAAATTATAGTAGGATTATCTTTGAAATTAAATGTGTGGGAATAAATGTGTAATATGTATGTGAGAAAATAACATAGTTCTGAATTATTCATCTTCCTCCTTAAAATAATCGCTACTTTGCAGAAAAAATATTCATACTGATAGGCTTCTGGAGAAAGATAGGGTGAAAACTCAACTTTCCTGGCATGAACTGCTGAAGAAAAGCTTGCAGAATTACCACTGGCCATGCAGTCTAAAAGTTACTGTTAATTAATTTGTTGATTGGCACTTATTTATTTACAATTATAATATGCTGGATCCTTAACCATATTATGGCTTTCATGTATTAAACTGGAGGTGGCAGAGGTTTCTAAACATGATTTTTCACCTGCTTAGTTGAAGTTAATTGGTTTCCCATGGTCTGACATGGAAAAGAGGGCACACCTGTACTCATTTTGGTACTCTGTGGACTAGCAAATCATGAGTTGCTGGCTTCCATTTCAAATTTCAATTGTAATTACCACTGCTTGTGTTCATAGGCTCAACAAAACTTGCCCTTGCATTTAAAAAAAACAAACAGTGGTGCCATATGCTTCATTTGATTGTTAGATGAGTGTCTGGCCTTAAACTAACACTGGAAAATTAATGTAGGGGTGTATGGGATGCACCCATCAATAGGTGGGTGGCTGCAGCTACCTCAGCTGTTTTATAACTTGTGTTCTGGAGAAAGATGTGATACAGTATCCCCCTTTGTGTGTTTTACAGGCAAGCTGACGAGGAATACCAGATTCTGGCAAACTCCTGGCGATATTCCAGTGCCTTTACCAATAAGATATTTTTTGCCATGGTAGATTTTGATGAAGGCTCAGATGTATTTCAGATGGTAATGTCTGTCTTTTTCTCTTCTAACATTATTTTTAACTTGGGTTTTGGAGACTCGGGGCAAGAATGTAAAGATGTATGCATAATTTAGTGTTACAGTGATTAAAGAAATAATTGAAAAGTTAAAAGCTGCCATTCTCAGAAGAAAGGAGGAGAAGAGCAGAGGGCAGTAGCATGTTGGCAGTAATATGAACAGAGCTGCCAAATCTGGAATAGGCATGAGGAATGAACTGGCTTCTCTGACTGTTTTTTCTGAGCTTGTCTCCTATAATAACTTACAGTGTAATTTTTAGTGGAATTATTCTATGATGCACAAAGAGGGAAGATAGAAAGCACTGGTGTCGTTAGGAACAGCTATTGGAATTTTTAGATTACTAGAGAATGATAAGTTTGGCTTTCAGTATGGGTTAAATTACTTCTTTTCAGTACCCAGTCATTTTATTCTTCTTTTAACATTATGTAACCAGATTTTTTTTAAATGTGAGAACCTTCCATGTGTGCTTGCAATTGTAGATCACATTAATAGTTCATTATAGTTTTGCAATTTTTTTTTAAGCAATACTAATCTATTTAAAAGCTACACCATTTAAACAATAATATTTTAATAAATAGAAGCTTTTGGACTGGCAAGTAGAAAGGGACGTCATTTATTATTCTTGTTAAATTTTCCCATACTGTTCCATCAAAAATTCATCCATCAAGCTATGACCTTTGTAGATAATTGTATATATTCCTATTTTGCAGATTTCTCTCCAAAGAGCAGTATTTAGAGAAAAAACAGATTAAAAAAACCCTGAAATGCTATGGGAAAAACAGTTTTAGGAAAAGATAGAACTGTATTTTGTAAACAACTACCTTTATCTACTTGGTATAATCTCCTCTTAACTGGTCTGAATCTTTTGAATCGGTAGCCTTATATCTGAGTACTTACAAAGAAATGTCAGTAACTTCAGAAAGCATGCTCAATTGGGTTTAAAAAAAAGAAAGCCTACTTTTTTAACAATTGTAAAAGTAGCAGTTTTTTTCTAAGACATGCAGAACAGCTAGTGACAGAGCTAAAAAAATTTTGTTCATTAATACTAAAAGGTGAAAACACTATGGAACACAAAAGGAAAATTGCAGGAGTATATTGATTACTTTCATGAAATACAGAAATGCAAGCTACTGCGTACTCTACTTTTTTAAGTCACTGTCAATGACATGTGTTTATTGAATAGTTGTTTTTTCCAATTGATTTAGTGATGATACTGCAAGATACAAAGATACTTGTGTTACTGAATAGACTTTTCATGGTGCTGTATCTTCTACAAATTTTCCAAACACAGCTAAACATGAATTCTGCTCCAACCTTCATTAACTTCCCTGCTAAAGGGAAGCCTAAACGGGGTGACACATACGAACTTCAGGTGCGTGGCTTCGCAGCTGAGCAGCTTGCTCGTTGGGTGGCGGACAGAACCGATGTCAATGTAAGTACACACGGACTTTCCCCACCACCACCTCTGCAGCACTCCCTTACTATGTAGTTCCAGCTGTGAAATATATTAGTTGTGTTGTGTGGCTAACGATCAACTTTCAAATACTCTAAATAGCTTTTGTCTACAAAATCTAGTTTGGGCACGTGACTACATCTTTAAGTTTCCTTACATTCTGTGTTACAATATTTTGTGTAATTCCGTATTTAATAAGATGGTAAAACTCATTTCCTTCCTTCTCCCTTTTCTGTTTCTATGAAATAAAAACAGTCTTTAAATTATTAGTTAGGAGAAAGGTGTATAAAACTGAAGTTAGAGTAAGGGAGGAAGAAGCATTCCTTACTTCCCAAGTCAGATTTATTAGAACATTTTTGTGTGTGTTGATATATTCT